CGCAAAGCCACAGTGAACAAAGCAGCAAAGCAACGAATTCAGATCAATATAAGACTTATTTGTAACCTACATCAACAATTATGATAAATGACGTAACAACTACAACAGAAGAATCTTTGTGTGAATGCTTGGAGCAGACTAACCTGTGAGCTGTTCTGGGACGTTATATTTGGTCTTTGAATGGCTGCAATCCAGACCATCCGTCGCCTCTTTGTTACTTCGGAAACTCGGTTTGAACAATTTTTCTTCCACGACAGAATCCGATAAAAACGATTCTTTACCGCCGGCTTGCCATGGCTGTCATGTGACCGGCTGTTGCAGCTAATAATAAAACAGCTTCTTGACATTTTTGTGTTTCTTTTTATCGCTGTGTGACTGTTTTCACGTGAAAGCCTGCGTGCGCTAGTACCTCTTACCACTCGTACCCACAATCCTTTGCGGGTTTGACGTCACATTTTCGATCTCATGACCAGCTAACAAGCCAATGCTACAAGCTTCTGTTTAAGTGACATTTCTTTATTAGCAGTAAATCTGTAGGATTGTTAACAGGGATGGTAAGTTAACAAAAATGTCTGTTAACATTTCTTTAACCAGTGAGACTTTCATACCGTGTGAGCTTGTAGAGAGTGCAGGCCTACATGCAGTCACAAAAACACGGCCTGGCTAACAGGCTGGTAGGTGATGATGTCAGGCAGGACTAACGCACACAAACGGGCTGACCTGCAGAAAGTAACCCTGGAAGCTGCAGACAGAAGTCTTAGTGGGAAACACCAGGTACACAGAGAGCTGCTGCACACCTGTGTGAAGGTTGTTGTTTTTTTAACTCCCCATCTTTGATGTCCCGCAGATATGGCTGAAGATGTCCGTGGATTCTGATAACTCCTGTGTTTTGCTGTCATCGCGTGACTCCCGGACTTCCTGCATCTTTCAAACCGCTGATGAGAAAGATGACATCCCAGGAGTGGGAGAGGAAAGGTGAGCCAAACGCCGATTCTCAGGGGCTGATTGGTTTTCATGAACCTGTTTATCCTTCGCTGTGGTGTCGATTCCTTTGTAACTCCGCCTCCTTCCTCCCGCAGCGTCCTGGAGATGCTGAGCTACTCCAAGTTCTCCGACCTGGAGACATGGCTGTGCATGCCGTCCTCACTGCTGCTTTCCAGGCCTCTGGACTCCACCCACACCTCCTCGGGTTCTTCCTCCAACTCGTACTCCTCACGTGCGTCCCTCCACTCCGCCAACTCGCTCCCGGCTTCCTCCTCTTCGTCGCTGGCTTCAAACTCCCGCCGCTCCACCTGCAGCGAGCCGGGAGAAATCAACAGGTAACCCCGGCTCACCTGTTTATGCTTTTCATCGGGTTTATTTCGAGGCCGTTTCCATGAAATTTGCTGATTTCAGGATAACGGTGGAGCGCTGTGGCACAGAGGAACCAATCAGGCCCTTTGGTGCTTCGAATGACACTTTAAAGAGATCCTTTGAGGGAAAATGTTCTGTGAAGTGTCCTTCAGGACCATCATTCAACCTTCTCACTGTCCGTCTATAAACATGCTGCGTGTTTGAGCTGATCTTTGGAGCTTTGAAGCAGCTGCTGGGTCCAAACAAAAGATAGAAGTTTATTCTCGTGTGTTTGAAGTGTCAGGGTTAACTTCAGAGAGCCTCGGGCGGGAGGTGTCTGTCAGACGTCTTTGTCAGGGCACAGGCTGATCCTCCGGCTCGTCCTGCAGAAACATTGGAGCTCATGAAGCATTCGCCTGGCACCGTGGAGATGGCGGCTCTGTAGGCAAAGATAAGCTTGCACGAAGCCCGAGGGGAAACGGTGCTGTTTATAGAGAGGAAATGTACAGCTAATGTGTGGAAGTGGGGTCATTATGAGTGTTTGCAGCAGCTGGACGCTCTTCAGACGAACTATAGGAGCAGTGGAAGGTCCTCCCTGTCACGCCCACAGATCCGTTCCCAGCCAGGTCCTGCTGTCTGAGCTGCGTTGGTTTCTTTGCAGGAAACAGTCAGTGCTTCAGATCCACAGACTCCAGTTTCTGTCAGGGCTCGAGACAGATTTCACCACGATGGAGCAAACCACCGAGTTCCTTCCACTCCACCTGCTACAGGACAGCTTTCCTTACACCGTCCTCAAAGAACACAGATGCTCCCCATCACAGTGTTCCACTTCCTGCACAGTGACATGTGTTTCCTGTGCACGGTTTCTAAATGGTCCAAAACATGTTTAGAAAACTGGCATCTGTGGATGGGACGGCTGCAGGTTCGATCCCTGTCTCGTTCCTCTCTGTTCCTCAGACTGTGAGCGAGAGAGCAGCTCGGTGTAGACAAAGCCCTGTGTGGATGAGTCCATGTCTCATTTCCTCCAAGCCTGATGACAGGAAGAACTCCTCCTTATGGTGTCCGTGGACAGGAAGTTAACGACTGCTGTTGCTGGTAGCGTGACAGTGATGTGGTCTTTGTACTGCTGGCTGGAGAACAGAGAACATCTACAGACATCACCTTTCACTGACTCGTGCTCTGTTCACTCAGCTGTTTCATATGTGCAGAACTCAGGTGTGCGTCTGAGCGTGCTCGGTACAGATCTGGGCCCACGCTGATGCCGAGCAGGATTGTTGCAAACTGACTCCCAGCTCAGAAACACTCGACTCTCCATTCTCCTCACCCAGCCTTTGTCCCCCTGCGCGCACACACAGGTAAGGTAACGCCCCTGCTGGGCAGTGAACACCTGACAGGAGCTTTTCCTTCAGCGCTGTTTTCCGGCTGTGGTCGTCCGGTGAAGGGCGCAGTGATCTGCAGTGATCTGCTGAAGCGCGTCGTCCTCGGATGCTGAGCTGGGCTCGGCTGCTGGATCTTTTCCTGCGGAGGAAAAAGGGACAGCATCTGATCCGAGCATCACGGTGCAGCTGCTGTCTCCGAGGACAGGTACCATTCGGTTACCTGTAGGGCTGCCACGATTAGTC